ATTACGCTACAGTTTTCAGCAGATAGTTTTTTGTTTTTTATAGGATAAGGGTGACAAACGAGCACACAATCCACCTGATGGTAAGTGGTTGCTGTGGCTCATAGACATCTACATGTATCCTCGATTGCGAATCAAAATGCAGATGTGTTGTCACCCTAAGATGGAATGCCTCGTTTCCATTAAAAAGGGTCTCCAGTTCTCTACACTCACCATACGAAATACAGCAGTGTTAAATTGCTATTTTGCTATTCTGTGAGAGCGTGGTTCTTCCCAAGTCGTGCCGATCCATTCGTGCTACAATTATACCAGTAATATAGCTGCAGCATGTAAAACGTTGCCTCTACCACGTAAAAACTTGCCTGTATGACAGTATACTGGCAACTGTACAGACAGCTTTCCATTTGCAAATCTGTCTGTACAGTTGCAACATGCATTTGCATGCGGTGACACTAACGCAACTTCAATGTAGCTCTAATTGACGAAGTAATTGAGTGGAACTAAAGCTTCGAGTCTTTGCAAAGTTCTATCTGCCAGGAAAAGTCCCTATCTTCGTTGAAAACCGACTGTGGCAGCGTCATTTCCAGGACCCACTGAAGCTTCGCGTTGAGACGAATTTCAGCGTCTCAATGCAAAGCTTCAGTGGGGACCCCATATAACTAAATTAGCAAGTAATCTGAGATCTGCAGCTTATGCTGTTAAAAAGATTAGAGATGTCACTAATGTTAAGACAGCTAAATTATTTTATTTTAGTTATTTCTATAGCATAATATCTCATGGGATTTTGCTATGAAGAAATGCGGCTAATTTAGAAAGTATTTTTGTTTTGCAACATATTTACCAAGCAATATATTAACTTTGGCCTCTCAGTATATTTACGAAAATTTAATGTATGTTCTCAAAAACAAAAGTAGTTTTAGTAAAAAAGTGATACACTCTTTGAAAACACTAGGAACAAACACAGGCTAGTGATACCAGTTCTTCGACTCCACAGGGTCAGTAATTCAATCATGGGGCAATGTATACGCTATTACAACAAAGTCCCAGAAAATATACAAGCTCTCTCTTTTATCAAGTTTAAGTAATTTCTTAAACAAAAACTCTATAAAAAGGGTTATTAATATAAATGAATACACGGTTGATAATAACCCCTGGGAATGAGATGATCACTTCCAAGGTTTTTTTCTATTAATTGAAAATTAAAAAAATTTGTATAACCGACTTTAATATAAATAATTAAGAATCACTCACAAACTATTTGTCAGACCTTGATCAAATATGGGACCACATGTGAAACACCTGCTTTCAAATAAAATAAGAATCATCGAAATCGGTTCAACCAGTAAAAAGTTATGAGGTAAAACACATAAAAAAACACACTGTCGAATTAAGTCCTTTTTGAAGTTGGTAGAAAAAATTTGTAAATAGTTTGTACAACCTTTCTAATTGTATAATTTTCTTTGAAATAAATACCCCGCTGGATTTCTTGCTGGTTATTTCCAGGACAGAAGTTTTTTTCAGAACCAGTGGTAAAAGTAAAAACTTACTTTCAATAAGTACGATTACATGTACTATATATAAATATAAATATATATATAAAGTAAAAAATGTATTCTTTTATTCATATTCTATTCTATTATTAATTTATAGCTGGCCGCTGTTGGAGCTACACGCAATTCAAAGTACCTAAGCAAATCCATATAGTAAGTCTCATCCTACAGTATTCCAGTTATATCAAAGACGTAGCTCACTGAGGTCGAGATTAAAATGGATCTGCAGCACCCTAAAACAGCATCGTGACGTGTGAAAATAGGATAACAACGGAGCTTCTGAAAGCGGTTACTTACTGATTTTTAATTTTTAATGTCCTTTAGAAACTGTTCTGCATTTTATGGTAGCGCTAGATCTGGAGCTGGTTCCTCAAGAAAGGAAACAATGCCCTTCTATATGAACTACAGACATATTTCCCGTCTGAATCGTCTCGCACGCAGAAGTCAGCAGTCTGCAATTTCCAGCCTCTCGACTAGCTGTGTTTTGAACAGACTTTAGTACCATACAAGTTCTCTACGCACAGATTGTCTGGAAGATATCACTTTCAGAGTGATAAGACCGACTGTTGTAAATATTATAATTTAGATTTAACTATACTTGTTATTCTGTATTTTGGTGTACAATAAAGAATAAATAAAAAAAGGAAGACGAAGAAAAACGGTTCTGGAAATTACAAACGTTATCAAGTGAAAATTTAATTAAAACAATTTAAAAGTATCACTAGGTGGCAGGATTCCTTTTATGCCTACGAGTCCGTCTAAGTAGGTACCACCCTCTTACCTATTTCTATAAAGAATAAATAAATAAATACCATAGACCACGTACATACTCCTCAGCAAATTGTATAAAAAGACCGAAGAGTACATCCTGCCATTTTCTCGTTTGTCTTTGTGTTATGGCGCTCGTTGCGTATGTAAACTTTGAGAAAGCCTTTGATACCATCGAAATTTGGGTAGTGCTACAGACCCTTCAGCGATACCAATATATTTGTCGATATATCGAAGTACTGAAGTGTTAGTAAAGTATGGCAACGATGGCAATGTGAGTATAAATCTAAAGTAAGAAACCTATCCAAATACAGATAAGTGTAAGACATGGTCGTATTATATTCCCGAAACTCAGCTCATGTACCCCTGCACTGGAAGTCATTTTCAAGCTACTGGACTAAAATGGATACGGTATCCAGCATCAATTGTGAATTTATCACCTTCAATTTGCGACTGATATAGTCAATAAGGCAGAATCGCTGGAGGGCCATAGCACCATGCTCAAATACCTGCATAGGGTCTCCCAACGGATAGTCCTGAAGATGAACAAAGGTTATTTGTGTAACGCTTACGTCGCACTTATACCAGTAGTTGTTACACTTAGCTTTAATTTGTTAACAAGTATGTTTACCGAGGACAAATTTTCCGACTAGGTAATTTCAACTTCTACCACAAGGCCAACCACAGACACCAATCGACAGATCCCAATCGGCAACTCCAGACAACAGTATCTATATAATCATCAAAAACAGCCTGCGGAAGCCAACTGCTAGATACCAGCCAAGTAAGGGGGAGGTACTTACTGTTTGCTTAATTCGCAGTTTAATAAATGCATAAAAACAGAAATGTAAACAAGCAGGTTAAACACAATATTTATAATTTTTTTTGTGTAACAAATGGCATTTTCTTCAATAAATTTCATATACGGAACTCTTTCTAATTGTGCGTAATACTTAACTAAATATTCATCGAATTTATACAAGTAAATAAAATTGAAGTGTCTGTTTGTAATTTCAAAATAACAACTATTTCTAATTGCATATAAAAGTATATACGGTACCTAAAGCAGAAACACAATTTTTAAATTTTTTTTCTGTCTGTCTGTCTGTTTATTCCGGCTAATCTCCGAAATGGCTGGACCGATTTTGACGGGACTTTTACTGGTATAGCTCATGTTATAAGGAGTAACTTAGGCTACTTATATTTTTGAAAAATAATTAGGGTTCTGCGCAACAAAATTAAAACCCTAAATTATACGCGGGCGAAGTTGCGAGGAACAGCTAGTATTTATATAAAAAATAATTTTTGTTTGTTCGTATTTTATGTGCTGCTATACCAGCTAGTATTTTATAAAAGGAATAGCAAATATTATTTTACAGCTATAGGAATCACGAGAAAAAATTGAACAAGTAAATAGTTTTGATAATTAAGCATTAAAAGACCCAACCGATTAGATTTGTAAGAACATAGAATTAGAAATTTCTGTGTAGTATATGTAAGAGGCCTACGTTCACATAAGGACTTTTGATAAGTTCTAATTAATAAATGATGTAGTACATTAATCTAATAAATGAAAAAAATGGCTCCTATATTTAGATTTATTAATCTTTTTGTATGTAAACCTTTATTTTTAAAGTAACATAAGTCTTTTCATTAAAAAGAAACGCATAATAATTTCACCAAACAATCTCTGTAAATAATAATTTCATCGTATATATTTTTTCAGCTTATGACAAATTAAAATTACAAGAGAGAAGAAATAAAAGGCGTAATGAGTATCAAAACGTCAGTATAATTTATTACGGCTTCAAGATATCTTTGTACATTTTATACAAAACAATTATTTTCATTAAGACTAATAATTACAATCCAAAAATTACATTTATTTTCAAATTTATAATTATTATAGCTAATATCACGATTTAGCTTAATTATATTAAATAGGTACTCAAGCGACACATCTATGCCAATATAAACGATAACATTGCAAACATCTTATATACACTTTAATCGTATTCTTGAAAAGCACATTGATAAATGTCTTAATAAGTATTCATACCTTTATAACATATAAGTGAATAAAAAAAATAACAACAAAACATTTTGGAAACAAAAATATAAATCCATAATAAAGACTTTTATAAAAGCACATGAATAGATAAATTAAAATAATGGCAAAATAATGGAACAATGTCTATGAAATCATCTGCCTTTTAAACAGATAATTAAATAAGTTCATTGATTTTATTTTACTTTATTTTAGGGTAAAGGTACAGATTTTTTATTATGATAAAAAGGCTTATATTTGTGAATATGAGATTTTATAAGTTCTTAAACTATTTGGTGTTGTTTTACAGTAAATAAGTTCGTGGAAATATTCATTCATGAATAGAATATGTAATTATGTTCAATAGATTTTTCTTAGTACTAAAAAAAGGTTTTCATAGTCAGACTCAACATTTTCAAGAGACCTTTGTACAAATATTGTATCATTTTGAGTAATTCCAAATCATCATCAGTAATTAGGTCTTATTACGTATGTAAAAATTGACATTTTTTTTTGTTTTGTTTGTTTATATTTACAAGGTGAATAGTCAATAATAAACTTTATTATGACAATTGTGCATTATATGTTTAAATATTAAACGCAAATTAGAGAAGTATGGAACATATGGTAATATTTTTTCAAACAAAGTACGTGCGTCCTTTAGCTAAACATGATCCTGCTACAGAACGAGAAGTGGTCGGCGAAATATCTTCCACCCTAGAATATACGTGACCACTACTCGGAGATAGCCTGAGGTCACAATTAAAACGCGAACATGGTCTGTTGTCAATTGACATGTAACTATTGTTAGAATTGTTCCCTTCACCATACGTGTTATTATCAGAGGAAGGAGAACTTTCATTCTGTGACGACTCTCCATCGTTCCTTTTACAATATTGCAGTGAATTGGTGAAATTCGGCTTTGAGCAAGTATCATTTGAAACTGGCATTGTTGTATACCTTAACGTTGGAGTGTGGCGTAAGGACTTTTTAAAAACGTTTTTCTCTGAACCTTTAACAGTTATAATAGTATCAGTTGAATTGAGCAATGCGATAAATCTATCCCAAAATCGGGGATCATTCCACGATATATTTTTAAACTTATCTATTAAAAATCCGAGCTCGTCATTTATTTGGTTGTTATCTACAATCTTAATGAATATCACCTTATTCAAATCGCTACGATTTAGTGATTTTAAATAACTATAAAACATGTTTTTAAAATGAATGTCACAAAGATCGTTGCATATGAAATTTGTTGTTAGGATTACTAATAATCGTTTCGTTAGTCTTGAAGACTTAGAGAAACTATCCAAGGTTAATATGTTTAAAGTGGATTCGTTCATTGAAAGTTTTTTAGCTGTCATTTTTCTAAACTCTATCTCTGACATTATATTATGATAAATAAACTGGGTATCTTTGGTATTGCATATCACGTAATAATCGTACATATGGTTTGGATTGCCTTCTAACATATGATCAACGTTAGGACACGACTGTTCTTTGAACAAAGGCACGCCGTACTTTGTATATAACCAATCGCTGACATCGTATCTAAAAGCGTAGAAAATCGCACATATTAGGCAGATCAAAACAATTATTATTATAATACCGCATATAACAGCAAAATAGTTATCAGGAAGAAATAATGAGGTGGAAACTATTTCGTTCTTAGAAACTGTTGGATCATTCATTGTGCCCATATACTCTTTACAATGACTTAACACGGAAGCTATAGTTATTTTAGTGGGTTTGCCTTCATTGTCAGTACATAGCATTTTCTCGGGGTCGCCAGGATCTCGGCGAAGCCATGAATCAAGTTCAGCAATACTTTTGCAATCACACGAATACTGATTACCTTCTATGGATACGTGAGCTAAACTTTTGGAAGATGAAGCTAATAACTTCCAAGGGAAAAAATTCACAAGCTTATTTTCGTCGATTCTGAGAACTGAGAGTGATTTTAATGAGGAAAATGTGTTATTTGCTACATAAACTATTGCATTATGATCTAAATACAGCTCATTTAAATTGTTAAGATGTAAAAATTCGTCACCTTTTAACTCGACTAATTTATTATTTTCCAAATGTAAAACTCGCAGAGAATCCACACCTTTGAAAGTTTGGTTATTAACTTCTTTTAATTTAGTATTATTAAGATAAAGGACTTGTAATTTCTTTTTTCCAATAAACACGTGGTTCCCTAAATTAGTTATATGATTTCCGTCTAAATAAATTTCTGTAGCATCCATGGGAATGCGTTCTGGTACTTCAGTGTAGCCCGCGTTGGAACAATCAACAACGTTCGCATTCCATGTTATGTCGTGATAGCACTTACAATTATTGGGACAAATCATTTCACAGTCGCATGCAACAAAATCACAACAATGGCACAGGGCGAAGCAATGACTTTCATAAGGACAAAGAAAATCAGAAGGTGACATATCGATAATCATCTTTTTCAGCTTAGAACGTGAGTGTACAAGTGAACAATATGCCTTGTCTAGATCTAAGACACGCGGGTACTGTCGACTATGGCTCAAATAATTAATGCGTTGAATCCATTCCATTGAACAGTCACAAATAAATGGGTTACCGCTTATAAAGAACTCAGGCAAATCACTATCTTCATCAATTTGATCTATTCTAAAAGCATTCATGTCAAGTTGAACAAGTTTATTATTATTAAGAGTTACTATTGACAGTTTTTGAAGTTTAGAAAATGTACCAACTTGAATATGCTGAATGTAATTGTCATTTAAATACAACTTTTCGACAGTTTTGGGTATTGATGTTACTGTCAGCTGAGTAATATTATTGTAGCTTAAATCCAATAATTTTATATTGCCATTGGAGTACAAGTCGTCATTAAAAAAACTTTCAATGTTATTCATATGCAAGTCCAACCACTCTAAGCTACTAGGAAAACTTTTGAAATCGAATGATACTATTTTATTTGCGGACATATTAAGCCAAACTAAATTATTTAATGTTGAAAATATACCGTCAAATGTTGTTATATCATTTCCATCCATACGTAATAATTTTAAATTTATATTTTTGCGAAAACAGCCAGGCGTTACGTATTTAATTTTATTTGAAGCCAAATTAAGAACTTGTAATTGAGGTAAATACTCAAAAGTATCTTCATTTAAATAAGTTACTTTGTTATCAACTAGTCGCAAACCAAATAATTCAGATAAGCCTCGAAAATTGTCTTTATTTAAGTAGCTTATATTGTTGTTTCCAATGTCCAATGACCTTAGTGAGCGTAATTTATGAATAGAAGGGGGAATAGACGACATTAAATTGTCGTTCAGGCCTAAATCTTCTATAGTGGTCATATTGTCAAAAGCATTTTCATCAATATGTACTATTTTATTATTATCGATAAATAATTCATGTAAAACATGCAAATCAGTAAAGAGATGGGTATGAATATGTGAAAGTTTATTATGTGATAAGGTAAGTGAATGTAAATTTCTTAATTCTTCAAACGCATGCTCTTCAATTGTAATTATATCATTGTGTTCTAAGTTTAACTTTTGCAAACTATATAAGTCTTGAAACATAAAACGGTCTATCTTAGTAAGTTTATTATATGATAAATTTAAAATTACCATACGTAACAACCCTACAAACGTTCCCCTATTAATCCACTGACTAGTTAAGTCGTTATGTGAAATATCTAATGTTTGAAGTTGATCTAATCCACTGAAGAGACCGGGAGGCAGCACATTAATTGTATTATTACTTAAAATTATTTCTTTTAACGATTTGGTATCTGAAAAGAGATCAGGTGGAACAGTATTTATAAAATTACTAGATAAATTTAAAACATGTAAACTAAGTAGTCCGCCAAAAGCACCATTCTCTAAACTTGAGATTGCATTGTTTTGCAGAAATAATTTCGATAATGAACGAAGCTTTGAGAGACAGTTATCAGTTACAACAATTAAATCATTATAAGACAAATCTAGTGTCTCTAAAACTAAGTTACAACTTCTCACGCTCAAATTTTGCTCTCTTAATGAGTCAGAAAAACCAATAGTTTTAATATTTTGCAAATGATTTTTACTTAGATTTAGTGTTTTCAAGCTAAACAACCAGCAAAATGTCTCGGTGTTAGTACTCCAAACGTTGTTGTCACTTAAATCGAGCTCGATAAGTTCATTCAAACCTGAAAACGCGTGTTCATGCAGCTCCATTGTCATTGCAGACCATTCACTATTGTGCGTTGTAACATGCAACCGCTTCAGATCTTTAAAGTTTTCGAAAGCCCGTGCCGGTATCTGACGTATTTTGCATTTGTCGATGACAAGATCTCGCAGTTTACTCAGATTGTTAATTTTTCCGGAATTTCTCTCTGTGTGCGGTACAAGTGTACTCTCAAAGAATAAAATTTCACTGCATTGAACGTGCAAAGAAATTAAATCATCAAAATGAGTCCGACTGATGTTTTGCAAAAGACTTTCCAAGCTGATTATAGTTCGAATTTTGCAGAACAGTACTGCATTCTCCGGCGCTTCCGCTTCGAGACTGCGGTAGGCGCACTCGTGCGGCATCTCAGCTGCGGTGCTCCTTTTGACAGCATGACAATAGAATAACACATACACAATGATACGATTAAAATTTCGGCGCTCGAGTCTGTTCACTAGAGTTTCTTTTATTGGCATTTTACGGTCTTAGCAAGCTACAGTAAGACATTGAGGTTGGCTGTGCCATTTATAATGAGGCAGTGTAGTTGATCACGTCATAAATATTCACGTGGAGGTAACGACATCGCGACTCGCGTGGCATAATCGTAGCGCGTTAGTGGTGAGCGTCTTGCTCCGATGGCGGTTGCCCACCGACTGAGCGGCGCTCTGTGACACCGCCCCACGACGCCCGCCGACGCCCGCCCCCGCCACCCGCCCGTCGTCTAAGGAAACTTCATCTCATAGGTATTATCAAGGGTGCATAAGCCGTTGAATTATTCCGGTGCGGGAGTATCGCGCTTAATTATAAACAAAGGCCGTGTTAAGGAATCATTAAAAATCACCCATATTAACGTTAAACGTGAAAATTTTACTTAGATATGACTGTGTTTTTAAACTAACGTTTACATTACTATGACTTATATTTTGTTACCTATTTGTCCATTAGACACCTATTATCACAGGCTTTAAGGTTATTCATCATATTATTAATCAAGGGTAACAAGAAATTTATGAACTTTTTGTTTTAAGTTGATTTTTTTATCGAAGAAGGAAGAAGGGGGAAAACGAGCAAGCGGCTTACCTGATGGTAAGTGTCAACCGCCGCCAATGAACAACCAGGGGAATTGCAGGTGCGTTTTCAGCCCTTTAAAAAGGAGTAAGGTCGTTTCTTGAAGATTATGTATCTATACGCTTTAAAAGTCACTATCCTTCATTTTCCTTAAGGTGATCTGACAACTGGCTTACGAGACGTAAAAGGGCTGTGATTATGGATAAAGCGACAATTACAAGTACCTAGTGTTTTCATATGTTTATTTTAACTTTTAATATCTTCGATCTGATTTAAAAGTAACAAAGTAATAAATACAGGTTTGACTTTGGGAACAGTTAGTTTAGGTGTAGCTAAGCGTATCGGGTACGTAAACTTTCTTTCCTGTTTATGTTCAGATAATTTATTTTTCTAGCAATTTTAGAATTCTCGAATAATCTCATAATATTATCTACAGTAATAGTCTTGTTTATTTTTAGACAGAACTAATACCTGACTGATTTATAAAGATATTGCTTTTGTCACCTAAAAACACACGATCTGAGGCGTTCTTCAAAGTTGACAAGGAATCTGCAGCCTTTTTGCACAGGCATTTTCTGTCAGGTGATCTTTTTACTCGTTTGTCACCCTAATAATATTATTAAAAACCATAACTTTATTTCTATTAATGCAAAGATGATGCTTGCATGCTATATGTTCTGTTACGAAGGTAATTATATATTAGATACATAAAAACCTATAGGTAGTCCATAAATTAAAAAATAATATAATATGTTTCGTTAACAGAATCGGCCATTGAGTGTGAAACTGGTGTGGTTTTTTAAGACTAATACGTCGACATCAAGAGCACCTGTTGTGTTGCTCAACTTTACAAAACTTTTACTTGGGCCCCCGCGAAAACGAGATAAAAGCCTCGTGTAATAGTTTTCTACGACACCATATGCTACCAAAGTTAACGTATTCACTTATATTAAGGGCTATAAAAAAAATTAAGGTACTTTTCACTTTCTTATTTTTCATATATGCTAGTGATGTAGCCTGCTTTTTGCAATAAAAAAAAATTCTAACAATACGAGTATTAATTCTTATACAAACACTATTTTTAAAGCTAAGTTATATCCAAACTACGCCTTGGGAAATATCATGATATCAGATATATGATCATCAATACATTGCATTGTAACTGTCTTGATTTGTATCATGATAAATTTGAAATATCCTTACCGCCACTGGAAAACGGACTTTGTTGCAACATGTCTAGTACAGCTATCGCTATTACGTAGTGCGACCCTATAGGGAATAATTTACGATAAACGTATACTTTGAGAATATTACAAAATACTAAGTTCTTCTATAGAAGAGTATATTGAAATATTAGAAGAGGTAAATATCCTACAATATTTTCAAACCCCGAGTCGTTTACGCGAATCGAATGAATTTAATAAATGGACGATTATTCAATTCCTTATTCACTCAATCAGTGATCAAGTGCTAAGAAACTAACACAAAAATATATAAATAATGAATAATTGAATAATTAAAATCAATGATATGATTACAAATAATCGTTTATATTTGTGCACCACATAGAGAATAGCTTATGGGCAGTAGTTGGCTATAGATGCTGATGATGATTCTAAAAGAATATCTTCATGTTTTCAATACTTAGTAACGAGATCTGATTAAAATGTATCGTATTCAATTTCAAGTCAAGCCTTTCCATTATAGCTTTTTACCATAGGATGAAGCTAAACATTTCTTTTATTTATCATAATGTATTGCGGTCATAAAACAAGTTGAAAATGGATAATACTTTATAGAACCGGATCTCAATGTTATTGTTTCGACTTTACATGCATATAAATAATTCATTGCCATAAAAACACTCAAATATATTCAAAAGCAAGCGCGTAATTACAAAGTAGTGAGCCAAGCTAGAGGAAGAACATAGAGTCACCTGAGTCGTTAACTCATGGGAACAGTTTTCGTCATAATTGGTCAATGTACGTAATTGAGATATGCGGTGCTCTAACTATTTTATGGCAATTTGTAGCTGCTCATATCCCGATGTCTGGACCACCCACTGATGTGTATATGAATATGGTTTTAATTAATAACGACTCTACTTTATTAACAGTTGATTAACTAAATAAAATGATATTTAACAGAATATATTACCTCAGAAAGCCGTGTTGATAATATTGCTATTTATACTTATTATTTTATTTACTAATACTCGCATATAATGCCAAAAAGTACTGTAAATTTATATGCTCGTACAATATAATCATAATACTGATATTCCCTTTTTTCGATCAAAGTCCACTGCTGAACATAGACCTCCCTGGGCCTCCCCCAATAAATTGCCACAGATGGCTGGCGCGTAGACATAAACAGTTTTTATTTCATGATTGTTATCGGAAAGGTACCACTGTCCATCTTCTGTTCCATTTCCTTCTGTCGCCTCTTACACTCTTGCTCGTTTTGGATGATAATGGAATAGTAAATTCTGTTACTTAGTAGAATCCAATACGGATATAATTAGATAGTAAAAATTGAAAAAGCAAAATCACTAAATACATCCCACGTCTGGGCACAGGTCTTCTCTAATTTCTGAGAGGATTATGGAGGAAATCGTCCACCCCCTGTCCCACTGCGTGTTGGGGGAGACGTCATAATATAAAACAATGCAAGTAATAAAAAATCAAACAATAGGTTTCAAGCAGATATTATCCTCTGAAATTATTTTCACCGTTAATTTAAAAAATGTAATAGAGATGTTTAAATTTTATAGTACGCAAGCAACAGGTTAAATCTCCACAAACGTCATGGAAATTGTTAATCACAAGCTTGTCGATTTCCCACGTGCTCGGCGATAATCACGAGAGGAAAAATGCACGTCTGAGAAATTAAAATACTTTGAGGACATGTGAAGTCCGCCAACATTTACTGAGACAGCGCAACGGACTTTTCTCATCTCTAAAGTGATTTAGAGCTAGAAGCTATTAGAAATATGAGAAGACCGAGCCTAACAGTCAGACTATTATATATATATATATATATATATATATATATATATATATATATATATATATATGTGTGTTTTCAATATCATCATCATCATCATTATCGTTACAGCTTATCAAAATAACCAGGCTGAACTTTGGCCTCTCCTGTTGATTATTTTTTATATATACATAAATAATTCTTATGAAACACTTTTAAATTTTTTTTGGAATAATCGATTTAGGCTGATTATAACTTGACATAAATAAATGAAGAAATTTGTTCATGTAAGGGTTATATTTAATTTGTTAACGTTGTTTTTATCTTATGAATAACGTTTATCTGATCATGGAAAAATCAGCCCTAAATCAACGTTTTACCAACTTTAAAATACATATATACATTATGGTACTTTGTTTATAGAATTAAATCCCAGAAGAATGTTTTGATTTTTTCAAAGAATAATCTATACTCGGCTGTCAATTCTGAATGATTGGATTGTACTTTATGTTTTTGAAACTGAACCTTATTCAATTCTCTGATTTATTTCGTAATAAAACTTCTATAAATCGATAAGATTTCTTTAAATATTCTAGTTTGATACTAATTAATATCTTGCAGATTTCAGAATGGTCTGAATATAATAATATTTATAGCCAACCAATGAGGAAGTGGTTTGCAAGAGGTAAAACTCCAATAGTGGATTTGCGGTTGACACTTCGATTGATCTGGTGATGGATCTTAAGCTCATCTAAAATGATAGAAGTCGTATGTATGTTCATGAAGAATTTCATTATATTTTTATAATAGTTTATAATATAAAGAAAACAACGATCTTAACTTTAATATAAGTGTTTGATAACAAAATTATTTCATACTCTGAAAAACACATTGACCTATCAATATGAGCCTGTTGATACTGGTTACTTATAACAAAAGTAGATGTAAATATGTTATCTAAAATAGTAGTATCCAAATAAAACACAAGACTACATCTGTAATAATTGATTATTTGACGTGTTTCAGCCACAAAAAATTAGCTTTAAATAAAAATTAAAACCCGTCTTCAAACCACAAAAAAAAAAGTATAATTTCACATTCTTTATTTCAAACTAAACTTAGGGTGCAGACTCTCGATTGATAAGATTGAACTCAGTATGTTAGGAGTACTGTTATACCAATTGAAAGTAACATATTAAATAGTTAAAGAGATTAAGAAGGATCTACTGAATGCATGCAGTATAATGTTACATACTGTCAGAGGAACTTTAGAAATGATACAAGTATTGACTACAAGACAAACAAAATGATTTAAAGTTGTGTAAATATAATAACTATTTACTTAGTTTGCTTATTGATAAGGAAAGTTAACTTTAATGTATATACATTTTGAATGTAAGTATTTAGATTTAATATTAATAGT